TGTCGGTCCCTGTGCAGGTCACACCGCCGACGGAGTCGGTCTCTGGGTAGGCCATCCGGCCGATGGCGTTGGTCTATGGGTAGGTCGCTCGACCGATGGCGTTGGCCTATTGGTAGGTCACCCGACTGATCGCCGTCCGCCACAGGACAGTCTGCTGACGCAGGGCAGAGTCTGTCTGGGTCCAGATCAAGGACGACGGTCTCACCAGCGCCAGGACGTGGGCGGGTCTCCCTGCAGCTGTTGATAGCCGTCATTAGCCGCGGCAGTGTCAGCGGCGCCATATCAATACAGATCCCACGCACCAGGATGTAGCTCACCATCATGATGCAAGCGCGGGATGCTGATGTGAATGTTTGCAACAAAATGTATTTTCGGTGATTGGGCTACGTACATCACCGTATGTACACGACCGATCGCCACTTCTCGGTACTATCCTGTAAATGAATGATGCATCCTTTCCGGGAGTCGGACCCGATTTGCGCAGTCGAACTGCTAAATCCGGCGAATATGAGGTCCGTCTGGGAGGCGCGTCACTATCATGACTGATGCCACCCCTGCGGACGACTCTTCCGTCACCGCGCCACGCCCCCGGCCGCCGCAGTGACCCCTGACCCCAGCGCATTTGAGCGTGCAACGGCAGCGGCCTGGCCACAATCGGGCGTATATCGAGCGTCCCCCGCTCTGGAGTGGCTCCTTCAGCCGCCGGCGAACCCGGCCGAGAGACAGGAAATTAAAATATGATTTACGACGCGTCGCCGGCCGGTCGCCACCGTGAAAAATACGCCCGGCGTCACGCGGTCTGCCAGGCGGGCTCAGGCCCGACCGATCGCCTCATCAATCGGTCGGCGCCGCGGCCTGCGGGGACAGCTGGGCTGGCTCGGTGAGAGGGGGAGGGAGCGACGCTCGGGACCCAGAGCTGTGCTCAACGGAGCCACGGCTGAGGCTGGGACCGCGCAGGCAGGGCAACCTTTGGAAGTTGGCTACGGCCGTCCATTCACCCTGAGGGCTCGCTGCGACGTGGGCGACGTCGGCGCCGGAGACGAGATAGTTGATGGATAGCATGCAAAGGGGCTCTGACCCCGCCGACACGTGATCCGTGGAGCGATCCCGCCTGACCTCGCCAGTCCGCAGCAGCTGGAGCGGCCAGGTCACGTGGCGACGTGGAGGGGTCACAAGGACCCGTGTCAATACGGCGCGAACGCTCTTGCATCTTGCACTTGACGAGAAAGTGTCGCCCGGACTCTACGCTGACGTGAGCGCCGGAGGGTCCCTCATATCCGGTGCTGACACGGCATGTGCCAGAGGGGCCTTCCCGGGCGACCGCCGGCCGCCGTGGCCGCGTCACACCTGGACGCATCGCCGGCAGCTCGTCATCACGCCGCTTGTGAGAAGCCGCGCCAGCCTGCGGTCTGAAGACCTGAAGCCGCAGACCTGCAGCCGCAGCCGGCGGCCACGTGGCGCAGCGGTCGGCGTGGACGGAGGCGGTGGCGGGGTCGCCGGACATGTGGGGATGTCCGGTGTGGACGGACAGTCGCGACCTGCTGCTGTTGTTGGCGGTGGTGCTTTACGACTCTCTCAGCTGCTGAGGCTATATGGCATCGCTTGCCTGCCGCCCTGGAGAACGCAAATAACCGTCGCATTGCGCAGACGCGTCAACCTCTTCGCTATCGACACCCCAGTGGTGACCTGCTCAGACATGGAGCCGCCATAGGTCGCGACACTGCCTCCCTTCCCGGGTTGAATGCATGCCAATCGGTCGGAGGGGACTACCGGCACGCCTTGGCGACGCATGGCGATGAATGGATCGCGTCGCACGTTGGGTGGCGGATCTGCGTCTCGTTGCCACACGCTTAGTGGCACGAACACCAACGGCACGAAGGTCGGCTGCTTTAAGCCTATTTGATTGGGAGCTCAAACCAGAACCAGACGCCTTTTCAGTGCTTATAAATTGTTGGTGTATGAGCACGGTGAGCAGTCACGTTGCACAAAGTGAGATATTACATCAGAAAATGTTGCATAGAACCCACTTTCCTTGACACGGACCAGTATAAATGTGTACAACTGCAAAAACGTTTGGTCAGAGACTGATGTTGCAAACCCGACCATACCAGAACGGCTGCTGGCTGAAAACCGATTGCTCGTCTGTTGATGCGGAAGGACCGGATTGGGGCAAGCTAAACCAGTGCTAATTTGTATTACTGTGGCCGCTACCAAGGGCTGCTTTTCTCCATCGCTATAGTTTTACTTCGCCCAGACCCTCGCCAGACACTTGGAATATATCGGGAGGCTTTGCTAGATCGCACCAGCATGGGACAACATCCGGAAGGAAACTGCACGTGTTCTTAATGTAAGCCGTGGTAGCAATACATCACTTAGGCTGACATAGCAAGGTCCTGACCAGAAGTGGTGATTTAATGCCGGCATATTTATGGGATGTTCACTCTTCGGCGGGGTGTTCTGCCTGACAGTCAGCTGGCCTGAGGCCTACGTACCCGCGGTAACTATTTCACCTCCAGACCTCATCATAAGCCCGGTGGGCGTTAGTCAATGAAACAAGGCTGCAGTCGAACCGGCATTTACGAACTGTTGCTGTCGTACTTGTCACGATGACTCATAGGAAGCATTTCCTTTTGAAGTGTTTTGTCATTGACGAGCGAAAGAAAGCTAGCAACATAAACCGAATCTGATAGCTATTTTCTATCGTGCGCCTTGAAGCTGACGCTTCGTTTGAGGTCTGCAATGTGAACCATAAACATAAGCAAAGCAGATGACATAGCGTGAGTGTGTCGCATCATATATTTCATTTACGGCATTACTGCATGTCAGAGGTCCTGTATGACACTCTTCATGAATGACGTTCAGCGATGACTATTACTTAATGATCCCCAAATTTTTGTGTAAGTACAATCCAAAGCATTTGTTTGACCTGCCTGACAGCATTTTTTGATAAGCGACTTGAGTATATTTTGCTAATGGCACCACACTATGCGAACACTCTTAACTCTCAGGGCAACCCTCAGCTTTCGAAAACGAATTTTTGTAGTTCCCCAAAGCGCTTGCACAGATGACCAGTAGTGCTCCCTGTTCCTGTTTTCATTTGGTTTTGCGGCACTTAGATCGTACGTTAAAGCCGGTGTTACAAAATTGGATGTTTGTGTCGCACCACTCCTAAGAAACAAAAAATACGACAAGAGCACACACACACACACACACACACACACACACACACACACATATATATATATATATATATATATATATATATATATATATATATATAAGCTCCGTAAATTTCATCGTTTTTTAGCATTACAGCGTCGCTTGGCCAGGACCTCCTGGCATAACTGGGGGTCGTTAACTCAACCTTAGAACTTCCAACTGATAATGCCGAAAAACTAGGAACGGAAGGTCATTTTTTCTTATGCCAAACACATCATATTATTAGGATGCATGGTGTGAAGTGACGGGGATGACAGTTAGCAGCGGTTAGCAATCACTGGAAACCACGGATTATCAATCGAATTTTACTAGTGCCAAACACGGTGACCTGCCATCCACTAACACTATTACCGGTCAGCAGAGGCTACAGATTAGTCAGGCCATCAGGCGAGCAGATGGACGTCTGGTTGCCAACAGGGTGGCCAGGGCGCTGGCGTGTTATCCAGGGCGAAGTCTGATTACATCCCCGCGTATGTTGACGAGGAAAGGTGAAAGAATCGTTTATCGCATACGGCTGCATACATAAACGTGTAAACAAATATGACAACCGCTGAAAAATGTACCTTGTTGTTTTCAAAAATAGAATATGATAACAAAGTTTGAAGCCTTCTTTTAGTTTTATGTTGAGCGAGCCACGTTGTGTGACATGGAGTTCAGGCGTTCTAATCAAATCCTGCAAGCATGGACCAAAAAAGACGCCGTGTGCGTGGGAAACATTTCTTGTAATTGACTTTTCATTAATAAAATCTTCGCAAGATGAACAACTTGAAGCTGATGACAGGAGATGCTTTTTCATGGCCGCCGTGTCTGTTTTATTATGATGTTATGTTGTTCTACACGTATTATGTGTACAAAGATATTATGTATTCACTCTACGTCTGGGCTTAAAAGGCTTGATTCTAATGAGAGCAGACCTTTGGTTGAAAAATGTCAGCAACCATCGATAATCATTAACGCTATCTTGTGCAGGATTATCAATTTATTGGTTGGTTTGGGAAAAAATATTCCCATACAAGGGAGCAATAATTAGCGCATCTCAAGCTCCTGTAATGCCACTTTGTATTTCGCGTTCGGTGAAACGTCAGTATAATGTCATGGTTATTAATATGCAGACACAACCATCCGCGCTTTGCCACCTAGCATTTTGTCAATGTTCTCTTCTGCACTATAGCCCTGCCGGCTCGTTTTCACAATGCTCCACAGTGGTGTCTAACTTGGTTAGGGCAGCGTTTCAGTCCATAACGCCACTGCCGGACATAACGCGCAACACTGACAGTAGGACACCTACGACTCTGTTGTTCAATAGTTGTTAGAGTTGAGAAGAATTGATGTCTAGGATCCAAATGCTCCGCTTGTTCCAAGAAAGATAAGATCTCAACGCTCTTTTAGTGTGTCAAAATCGCGTTCAGGCACAGCATTCGAGCGTCAAACCTACTGCTACGCCTTTGACTGGAGACGTGTCTAGACCACGGTCTACATGTTTATCCGTCAAAAAATGTTCATGGCGTGAAGCGAATGCCCCCCCCCCCCTTCCTGCCCCTGAGTTGCATCACCACGCAAGTCCCTTCTAAACACAGTGGGACACACTTTGAACTGGCCGCCATGTTTATGAACGCCGTCAAGCGTCACATAGCCTATCGGAGACGCCTCCGGCCTGCGCTGATGAATTGCATTACCGGGAGTGCGATTGGTTTGGACCGCCGCGGACACTTAGACCGCCTGAGTGTTGTCGCAAGCGGCGAACAAACGGCGGCTGACCGAGGGGTGTGTTTGCAGGGGGCGCCCGGGTCGTCAATCTGCTGGAGGCCATACCGATCCCGTTTCCGGAGAACGGGCAGCTGGCCTTCGTGGAGGGCGAGGACGGCTTCCCGGCGTTCGGTTTTCAGCCGGGGCATGACGTCAAGGTGAGGTCATCGGTCACGCGTGATGGGCGCCGCTTTGACGCATGCGCCTGTCGAGGTTTAATGTAGCCTGCGCGCGAACCACTCACTGGCCGCTTCTTCGAAGTTTGTGAGTGGGAGGGTTGCGAAATATAATTGGGCTGTTGCCTGGTGTGTGTGCCGCTGCGGTCGGTACCAGCGGCACTCGTATATCGGCGGGGGCGTAAGGGCGTTTTGCAATCGGAGAGGGGGAGGGCGAGGGGCACAGCTAAAAAAAAAAAACACTGAAAACCTGGTATAGGGCGCGGCAGGCGTGTTAGACGTTAGGTCTACTACGTGCCATAAAACACGTGGCATGTGCCAAACCTGTTAAATTTCACGGGGCTATTTTAAGTTTCGACTTCCAGCCCTTGTTCACGGGCATGCTAACACCGATGACTAATCTGGTCAGGGGAGGGAGGGGCACATGCCACCGGAGGCTCGTGCCGCTGGAGCCCACTACGTGAAAGCCCCCTGAGAACGGGCTCTGGAGCATCGCTGGTCAGCCTCCCAAACGAGCCGAATCTATTACTTATCTTGTATTTACCTCGGATTGGAACGGCAGATCAGAAAGTGTCCGTTCATTCTGATTGCATGCATGTTAGCTTCACCAGATCGGCGCGAATCCGCTGAAGAGGGGTAGGCTTAAGCAGTCATCTGCAGCACGAACATGATCCAGCGCTGTCGATCTTGCCAGGCCTCATACCAGCCATATATGCATGCCAGGGAGAGTGAAATACGACCTGGCTATGACACGTGTCGTCAGCATCCCCGCCAGCTGAGCCGGTCATAGACGACACCGCCTGACCTGACGCCCCCCCCCCCCCCCTGTCAGCACCCGTACCGGCTCTACCTGCCGGAGCGGATGCCGCGCGACTTCGCCATCGCCGTGACGGTGCGGCCGACGCAGCCGGAGGGCGGCTTCCTCTTCGCCGTCGTGAACCCGTTGGAGACGGTGGTGCAGCTCGGCGTGCAGATCACGCCCGGTGGGCCCGGCACCACCAACATCTCGCTCGTCTACACCGACTCGGAGGTGCACTTCGCCTCTCAGCGGATCGCCACGTTCAGCGTACCGAGCTTCGAGGTGAGCGCCCGAGGGAGCGTGCCGAGCTTCGAGGTGAGCGGCCGAGGGAGCGTGCCGAGCTTCGAGGTGAGCGGCTGCCCAAGCGTGCTGAGCTTTGAGCGTGCCGAGCTTCGAGGTGGGTGGCCGCCCCAGCGTGCAGAGTTTCGAGGTGAACAGCCACGGTGCGGCGACCTGTTGGCTGCGTGGATGTGGTCGTCACTGCCTTAACGGGGATGTCGCCGTCTTATTTTGCGTCACAGCTTTTGTGTATGGGGGGGGGGGGGGGAGCCGGCAAGCGGTATCATGCGTCGCTGCTGAAAGATCCGGGGCGACGTCGGGTCTGGCCGGTGCCAAAAGGCGTTATTGCATCGAGGCCGCGTACCATACAGGATATCAGACAGCTGCCCACGGACATGGCTTTCTCCGTGACTCATGCGCATAAAGCATAATGTGTTGTCTGGGGCTCGGTCATACATGGCTGTGTGACCACGCTTCGAGCCCGCCGCGACGCCCGCTGGCCACCCCTTGTTTAGACGAGACAGACGACATTAACCATTAGAGCAGCGGGACGGCAGGGCTGGTGCTGCCCTGTGACAGCTCTTATCCGTCATCAGCTCCGCTGTTTGCCCCGTCACAGACCGAGCCGATGATACCACCTGGGACTGTTCTGGTGCTTCCTGTCAGAGGCTGACCTGACACCTCATATGACAGTTTCCCGCTCTGTGTGTAATTGCCGTGACGCTGTTTGCCATCACCCGAGTATGACCGCGATTACCAGGCAAGTGCCATCTGTGGTCATTTGGTACAGACTGACGCCGAACTGGTTGGCTGCACAGTGCTGTCCTGATCTTGTCTGGTGCTGTCCTGGCTCTGTCCATCTCTGCTTGTCACTGCAGTGTTGACTATGCCTGGGCACTGCGGGCGGGGGCGTATACAGGACCTCGCAAGGTGGAGGAGGGCACGAAATTGCTGACTAAAACCAATTGTAGTGTACGCATGCGCGCAAGATGGCCTGCATGACCTTTGACAAGGTCGTATTTTTAGAATATGCTAATTGTTTTTGTCTATCTCGATTTGTTCTTGTTTACATTGATTTACATGCTTGACTTGAGCTTGACTTGACTCACATGCTCTTAAGCCAATACAAACTTAATAAGGGAGAGGCACCGGCGGTACCGGTAGCAACACTGGTGCCACCGGTACCATCCTCCTGAATACGTCCCTTAGCGCGGCGCTCATCCTGACCCTGCACCCCTGACCCGCAGGACACCTGGGCCAAGTTCGCCATCCAGGCGCTGGACCAGAACGTGACGCTCTATTACAACTGCAGCCGGTACGCCAGCGCGTTCGCGCCCCGCGTGCCCCGCGAGCTCGTCTTCGACTCGGCCTCCACGCTGTACATCGGCCAGGCGGGTGGCCTCCTCTGGGAGCAGTTCCAGGTCAGCCCTCAAGGTCGCGGTCTCACTGTGTGTCGCTGGGATCCACTCTCAGCTACAAGGACGATTCGGAAACACCAGGCAATATTGAGGGGCATCGTCGTGCCTATCGGTCCAGCCACCAGAATGCCTGGCAGGGGGGGGGGGGATGAAGCGCTTGAGGGTGTAGAAGGGCAACACGTGCTGTTTCGGCAGGGGTTACCCTAGGATGACGCCCGCTGGTCGGCACCTCCGCGGTCCGCCGCTGCTCTAGTCATCACCGATCACTTAACGGGTCCTGGGATGTGGGCGACGTGAAGCAGCCTCAAGTACCGTGCAGACCTGCTAAGTTAACACTGTCCTGATTCTTGAGATGAGGGCTTTGCCAGCGTTGTTTTGCCTCTCTGTGATTAAGTGGCGGAGGATTCTTGTGGCTCCATTCATTGCAGGACATTGGAGGGGGTGGGGGAGGGGGGATGGCTAATGCGACTGTTTGCTTGCTTTTATTACTCGATAATGCAGTTTGTACATTGGTTGGGATGTTGTTGGTCAGTTAAGTTTTTCGGTGCAGACTTGTGCGCCGCCCTTTTTCGGCTATGTATTGTGTTTTAAAGATGTGTGTGCGTGTGTGTATGCTCACGTGGTGTCACATTTCAGTGCTGTGGAGGCAGTCCAGGTCAGCTCTCCAACACCTCTGCCCTAAACCTTTCGCTATTACCACATCCTGGCCCTCCGAGTACTATGCCTGCAGTGCTGCCACGTACCAGCCGTCCACTGAACTTCAAGTGCCCGGAGTCGCCGACGCAGCTCCGTGCGTCGTGGGCCTATTCTGAAGGATAACTACTCTATCAATGCGACGAAAATCTCCGCTAATTACGAATGCATTCAACCACCAGGAATATGCATGCCGGAAACTCTGGTATTGATAGATGAAACATATTCAAGTGGTGAGGAAATGCGTCTTTGTTCGCCTGCTGGCACAACTCCGGCGAAGTAAAAACAGTAAGAGCAAAAGCAAAGCAAAAACACGAGGAGTAAACTGGCACAAGTGTCGAATCGCTTTCTTAAGGGGTTGCTCGGGTTTGAAGTACCCGGATGCTTCTCAGGCAGTGCCGTAAAACAGTTCCGCAAACTGCGGTTTTCAACACAACAGGGAGAAGTTCGTTTCGAGCTGCTTGCTTACAAGCTGTTGTGAATTTTATATAGCCATAGCTGAGCGTTCTTGGCGGATGCCCTGGACGCTATATCACAGGCACGTAACAAGCATCGCGCCCCAGTCGACTTCACTCGGCATCGGACGTCTCTGCTTTTATTCCTCCTGTCACCGCGCATACATTTATTGTGGTTTGCTCATGCCATACGTTGATGCTGATATTCATGAGCAAAGATATTGCCTTATTCCTCTCGGTGGTCGTTAGAATCCGGTACGGGAATGCGAAAGAACGCATCAAAAATAGCTCTCCTGACCGGTGATGAACACTGTCCACGCCTGCATGCTGGAATGCCAAGGTCAAACTGTCTATGACATGAAAAGAACGCATCGCCACCTTCTCCATAAAGCCGCCTGAAAGCCTGCCAGGATCCCTTCAAATCGTGGTTACTGGCCTGTTGCACTATCAGCAAGGCTGTTTGCGGCGCAGGATTTTTGCTTTCAGTAGCGTCGCTGCTCCGTCGAATGTCGGCACCGGATGTGTGGGTGGTTTGGGATGACGCGGCTCTACGACCCGCGCCGTAAGCGGGCGCCTGCGAGGTCGTAGTCTCGTCGTATAGCATGACAGTCAGTACGTGCAGTGTGCCTCAGGTAGTCGAGTTACCAATTATGCCTGTCGAAAAACAAGTAAGGCAAAGCAAACAGGCCGTATGGCTATTGCGGGACCACAAACGATATTTGTGGCTCATGGCTTGGAATATGTGTTGCTCTGAAGGGCCAGACGCAACAAATGCCAGTAGGTTCGGCTGAATGCTCAGACGATTACATTTTATTTCGAGACCCATGTGCACTGCGTAGTTCGAAGATGAGCCACGAATCTGTTTTGCATTCCTTAGTCTGTGAGAACACATTTATGCCTAGGAATAGCTTGGCATCAATTCCGAGAAAATGAGAAATAATTGTGACGTCTCATGCAGCGACCCACCGCAGGACTTTAAACTCATGATGCAGAATTACGGTTATTGTCCAGAGACCAAAGCCACGACGCTTCTGCACCATGCAGCAATGCATTGCACCAACACAAGGCTTGATTTATATCGGTCTGGCCCAGTGCTATCAATCCTCGTCGCCGCCAACCAGCTGCGTCCAGGGGCTGCCAGGGCCTGTTGTTTACATCTGCTGTTCGCGGCACGGAAGCATGAGGTCGGAGCCAGCGCAGCACCGCTGAATCACACCTGACCCAGTCATCGGCTGGTCACGTGATCTCCGCGGCCTGGCCAGACGACCTCTGACGTCAGTCGCCTCATGACATCAGGCATCCTCTGATGCCAGCTCGGGCCTCTCCAGGGGGAGCGGACGGGAGCATATGTCCTGCAATCGGAGCTAAGCACTGCACGGCTTGGGAGTTGAGATATCAAGTAGATGAGCTAAGCAGCGAGCTGTCCATGTACCTGACTGGTCTGAACAGGTCTCCTCGAGTTCACAGTTGTAGTTTTGGAGCCGACACTGAAGCTTCCCTCAGTTGGGTATGAGGATCCCCGTGGGCTAAACTCGATACCCGACGTCTGCCACTGGCGCATAGTACACTTCGCTCGACTCTGGCAAGCTGGACTCTGACTCTGGACTCTGCCACTGGCACACAGTGCACCATGCTGGCCTCCGCACCTTCCGTGAAGGCGGCGTGCCTCTCGGCGGTCTGTTTGCGCGCCTGTCTACGGTGGTGACAGCGCTGTTTGTTCTGCGCCCGGCCCTCCAGGGGGCCGCCGGTGCCGCCGCGGACGGATGACCGTCACGTCACGTCACGTCACGTCACGTTACGTCACTCTTACATCCGCTCTCGGAGCTGACCCGCAGCCGGTCTGAGCATTTCACTGACGCTTGGGCAGAGCTCTGGAATGGGAGTGAATATTTGGGCAGAGATGCTTGCTCTGGCTACGGAGTTTTCTCTAGCTCAGATTTGCATGTCTCTCTATTTTCTTCACTTTTTATAGCCCTCTTTTCTCACCATTTGTCTTTTTGTCTCAGTCGCCTATTCCCTCAACCAAAAACACATCTGATATTTCTTTCGATGCGATAACTTTATCCACTCTTCCGAGCGAAACACCTTTGTTGATTCTTCCAAAGGTACACATTTCGTAATCTGATTTCGTAAATATACCAATGTGCTGTGCATGATATACGCTTCCAATTCGCAAATTTTGCGATTTTCCACGATACATCGGGAGTCAATGTGAGTCACAATAAATAACATTTGATCAACAATCCACTTCAGATATTTATCGCTTCATCACCATCGTTTCATCGTATACATGATAATCCGTAGTCGCACCACCTCAGCACGTTGTGGCGCGGGCGGATGTACTACCCTTGAAGGTTATTGGTGGAAGGCTGACTGAAGCACCTCATGTGAGCTTTCGATGTCCAATGCACTCGAATTATGTCTGGTCAGAGTTAGCTATTTGTGAATGCTTTCTGGTGCTTAAGTCGAGGATAAAGACCAGAACATGACTTCAGAACTTAGCAGGTACTTTTGTCTCCCATCCTGTTGATGTCTGATGTACCTTTTGAGAAGCACGGCGTTTCATTTGGGAATGGCGATCAGATATCTGGTCGCTATAAGAAGTGCGCGCGGAAACTGCTGGCGGGGACGAAAGCGCTTTGTTCGTCATGTCCATTTATACTCATTCTCTTCCTCTGTAGTTATAAGACATTCGTCCATTACCGCAGATGTGTTGACCAGGCACGTCAAGTAAGTTTGTCAGCTGCGCCAGCGTGCCAAGCGGCGCGTTTTGATTGGCACACGCGCGGCCGAAAGATGACAGGTTGTCATGCTCTGCGGGCTGAAAGGTCGCTGGCGTACGTTGCCTGGTGAGAAATGGGCGCCTCCCGCTCCGTCTGGTGCGCACGGTAGCGTCCCGGCTGATCGAGGTGCGCGTCTGTGAAAATAAACACGGTCTGCGGCGGCGTGCGGACACACACGCACAGTTGCGCGCGAACGAGGAGCCGTCTCGAGCTTCGGTGGACAGGTCTGGGAGGGGGCCGGGGGCGCCGTGCGGACTCACGCACAGGTACGCGCGGACCGGGGAGCCGGCTCGAGCTGCCGTGAGTCGGTCTGCGAGGCGGCCGGGGCGGCGAAGCCCGGAGCGACGCGTATCGTGGTGCTGACTGGACCAGACCGGTACAGAGCAGGACCAGGGCCGGGATACGTGCACTGTTTGCCACTTACGGTGATGACCCACTTGCTGGATCTGTTGCCATAGTTAATTAGTCATGCGTTGCCTTTAGTGCGAACCTTATGCAGCGGCCGTCACTGATGGACAATTTACGACCATGGTCGCTGACAATGATGCGGTGGTAAATTTCCCCTTTTCCCGTCACCAGAGCAGAATCAGGCCAAACCTTAGGACGTACGCGTAGAAACTTCTTTCGGAAGATTTTCCGCCCACGGCAGTTGAGCTGTGAGGTCTATTCACAGCTTTCAGCCGGCTGTAGTACATCTCTGACTTGCGGTCTGTCTCAGAGGCAGCGGTGTTTGGTTTGGCACTGACCATTTCCGTAGCATTAGCTGACCAAAGCCGCTTGAGGCCCAATTCACCTCATGTTTCTCTGAGTGTTTCAAGACGACATGTTTATTCCACACGAGTGGGCTGGAGAACATTGTGCAGCGGCGTTGCACTGCTAATCAAAAATCGCCGAAATCAAGGTTTGCTGAAGCTCCCGACACATGTTCTCCTGTTTCAGCACGTGAGTGTTCAAACAATGAGGCATACAAGAATGATCAACACAATGCATAAATAGCGATGTTAGGCCTCCCCCGCACCAGCCCCTCCCATCTCCCCTCGCGAGAGGCCTCAGAGATCCTTCAATATTTTTT